CGTCCCCCTTCCCAGAGCTCTGCTCACGTTTCGGGCTCTCTGGCTTCTCCTCATTGCGGTAATGTGTGTGTGGGGAGTTTCCTGCTCTGAAGCTGGCTGGGGGTGAATTGTCCGAATTGTCTGTGTAGGGATTTCTGACTCTTGACACTCCTGTAGCAGATGGAAAATGAAACAAAACCATCACTGAAATGTCACGTCAACCCGAGAAAAAGAGAGTGAAAAAAACATCCCTTTGAGCTGATCAACATTTACTTTACACTTTGAAATCTTGAAAAGTTACAATAGCATCATTTCCTAGCAGGGAGGGGAGGTGGTGCCTCTCCAAAGGAGGTGAAAGGCGGTGACCTGCCCTGGCTGAGATGTTTCCTCAAACACGTGTGTCCCTGAAGGTCTGCACAGCCCGCGGCAGGAGCCGGGGAGAGCTGCGTTCCTCTGCTGTCACAGAAATCCCACCTTCCTCTGCTTGATGTTTTGGGAAGCCAAGTCTCCTTGCCTGTGCAATGGGGGATTATGTGTTAGAAAGGGAGTTGGGGGAAAGCCCTTCCACGTGTGCAGGGAAAGCAACAAGCCCTGAGCCTTGGTCGACCTGGCTCCATCTGCTAGAGCCGAGCAGGAGATCTAGCTGCAATGATGGGGAAGCTGCAAGTGAGAAGACAACACACGTTGCCTTGCTCGGGGAGGGGGAAAAAAAAGGGTTTGAATCAAAGGCTCAGCTTTGCTTTTCTGTGCTGGCCTTTGCTTTGTTCTGTGGTTCTGCTTTTCCCCCTCGGCTATCAGATCCTCTCCCCAGAGGAAGCTGGCAGCCGTGCCTGCTCTGGAGGCATCGCGCAGCTATTGTGTCTGCACAGATGGACAAACAAACAGGCTGCGGGCTCGGGGGGCGCGGGGCAGCCCCCAGCCCAGCCCTGCACGCCTCGGGCCGGGGGGGCCGTTTGTCGCATCCTTTCTAGCACCGGTCCCCGGGGTCAAGGACTGCGGGGAAGCGTGATCCGTTGTAGCAGGAAAACAGGAAACGGCTCTGGTGGCAGGAATTGGTTTCATTGAGCGTTTCACGTCCCGGGGAGGTGTGGGGCTGAGGCTCGTTGCATCACGCTGCTGGAGGCCGGGTCTTGAGCAGCCACGCGCTGGGCAGCCCTTGTCCTCCTTCATTAGCTGAGGTGTCTTTGCAGAGAGTCCTCACACCCCACATGGGACTGGGTGCCGCGGGGTCTACCGTCACCCCCGACATGCCTGCCCCCAGCTCCCATGGGGCTGGGGCACTGTGGATGCCACCGGGGAACGGGTTAAGATGTGTCCAAGCGGGGATCAATGCCCATTGCACATGCTGCTCCTCCAGCTCCAAAATAAACATGTCCTGCTGATATCGGTACCCCAGAGTGGGTGCATGATGTGGGTCCTTGCCCCATGCTATGCCCCCCCCTCTGCCTGGGGGTCCCTGGGCACCTGAGCTCACCACAGGGATGGGGGGCTGCAAACCAGACCTTTGCTAGCCCGGACACCCCATGCAATGCAGAGCGGCTCCCCGCAGCACGTGCCGAAGGAGGAAGGGCCAGGGATCATTGACGTGGCCAGTGGCCACAGTGCCGCGATGGGGAACAGCACATGGTTGGGTCCAGCAGGACGCCCCATGTTATCTGTGCTCAAACATCTGTGCCGCGCCGTTACACCAGTGTTTACTCTGTACAGACGCGCTGCGGCAGCCGCAGGGGTTGCTCCGGGATGCCTTCCTGCACGGTGGGCGCTTGAAATCCCCGCTGCTGCTGCGGTGGGAAGTACCAGGGCTGGATTCCTGATTCCCGGCTCTGAATTGTTACCTGCAGACGCGTCGGGCTGTCCCGTGGCTGCTCAGGTCCCAGCAAGCTCTATCCGGGGGAGCAGAGGTTGTTCGGAGGCGCATGTGGCCCCTCAGACCCGAGCACTAGCCCTGCTGCTGGCACACGGGGCTATCAGGCAGCCACCGCCCTGAGGCCCAGAAAGCCCTGCCTTTGCCCGCTGGTAATCTGCCAAACTGCCGAGCGGCCCTTGTATAAACCATATTTCTGTTCCTGGGGAAACAATGCTGCTCGCATTGTTTAGGGCTGGAATAGTGTCCTGGAAAGCCTTGGAGCCCTTGGGAAACTCCGGCTTTCTATAAATGTAGAGAGGCAGTTGGGAAGGGGGAATGGAACTTGTGACAGTTGGTAGAAGGAGGATCTCTGCCCATCCCCAGGTTGTGTTACATGTGCTCGAGGTCCTGGGTCTTCTGGACCGCAGGCAGCCACGCTCAGGCTGCTGTCTTAGCATCCTTCACACGCAGCCAGACCCGGGCGAGCCAAGAAGGGGCTGCGGTTGCCCGGGAGGACCTTTGTGGGGCTCTTGGTTGTGACCTGCACACCTCCCCATGCGCACACAACCACGGGCACACGCACATGCGCCCCGCTCCCGGCCCTGCTCACACCGGCTCCTGTTTCCTCTTCGAGGCGGCTGCAGCAGGCGGGATTAGTGATTTATTAATGAAGCGGAGTGACTGTGCCGCTGGGGCGTGCCAGGCGGAAATGTCTGCTCGGAGAGATTGGATAACCCTCTGGCCTGTTTCCCTTCGCAGCCTTCAAACGGCCGCAGCTCCCAGAAGCACCATATCCTTTTCCTCTGGCTGCCATCTCCCTCCCTCCCTGGGGCAGGCCGGCTGCCACCGAAGGCAGAGGGGGGATTCAGGGACATCTTCGCTCAACCAAGAGGGGCAAACCCCCTAGTGGGAGCTGCTCAGGGAAAGGACAGGTCCATGAGCTGATTTTGGAAGTGATGTGCAGGGCGGTGTGAGCCCTCCCTCCTGCAGCTGTGAGGTGTGGGGGTCCCACCGCCTCCACCAGCCTTTCTCTGGGTCTTGTGTCTGCACCCGAGTCATCTGGACTGGGGTTACTTTCAGCTTTGCTCTTGGGCTGGGCTGGGTGGCAGCTAATTCAGGCTCACAGGTAGGGTTTGAAAAGGAAAGATGCAAACTGCAGTACTTTTGATAGAGTTTCTTGGGGGAATAATTTAATTTAGTGTATCCTATGCAGTGTGCGTCTGCTTTGGTCTCATAGCCTTTGCACATACATCCCAAAGCCACTCAAAACCCATCTGTAGACAGCTTTTGCAGCATTCCAACCTGGGAGACCTGAACTTTGCTTTGCACCCACAAACCTCAGACTCCAGACTCTGCACAAGGTATTCGGAAGGCAGCTAAATGCTCCCTGAAGCCCTTGTCCGAGTGTATGGCCTTGGCCCATATGGGGCAGGGCAGGACCTCTGCTCTCTTGGGTTTGGTGTCTGATCAGTGGCACCAGTTACAGGATGATTTTTTGTCATTTGGTTGCCACAAGATCCATGATTGGATTATTCTTATAACTGGTGTTAATAGATACTGCCATTCCAGTTGCTGTAGGAATAAAGCTGTGTTTAACTCTGGGGAACTCTAAAAGTAAACAACCAAGGAAGAAGTAGCTCTGTGAGCAATTGCTTTTGGGCTGAAATCTTGCCTGGGAAAACTGCAGCCTGGAGCAAATATTTACGGCTGAACCGTAAACGCCTGTGAGGAAGGGTTTTATAGCGGGAGCCACTGGCTGTCCGTGCTATGCCAACGCACACCCTGCTCTGACACTGGGTGGGCTCTGGGCTACTTACCCCAGGACCTGTCTGCAAGGTGCTTGGGCCTCCACTTTATGCTAAACATTAACAAAAGTCCTATTCCAACAAAGATCCATCACCTGGGGTTTCCAGGCGTGGAGAGCCGGTGGCCAGCAGCAATGCAGCGCATCCCCAGCGTGGCTGTAACCCCGGGCCATCGAGCGTGGAAGGAATGCGTGTCCACCCGCATGCCCGCCCACGGCCCGTGCATCCCGCAGCAGCCACGCTGTGGCCCGCCGCCGGCTCCAGCCCACCTCTGTCAGCACAAACTGCTTCCAGGAAACGAGCTGGGAGAGGAAACAAGCACTAATGAAGAATCCCTTGGTGAAAAATGTGTTTCTACAACCATTAGATTATTTTGTCCTTGAGAGGCGGGGGAGGGAGATAATATAACAGCCTCGTCGCATTCCAGCCTTGGCTTTGGGGACACTGATGCTGTGCTAACCCAAGGGCCCTGTCTGGGGGTCCCCCATGACCCCCTTGTTCCTATCGAGCCCCCCTTGCCCTACTGCGGGAGCAAAAGCATCTGCTGAGGGGCTGCTCCTCCGCAACTGGGTGCTGCTCCCGCATCTGCCCTGCCTGCTCCTGGCTTTGGGGACCGGTGCTCCAACCTCGTCCCCATCGTGCAGCATCCCTGGCAGGGTCATCCTGCCCCGGTCCTCAGCTCACGGCAAATGCAGGAGCGGCTCCACGACCAGCAGTGGCCCTGGTGGGGGAGGACAGAGCTGAGTGACCAGCTGGTTCTTGTTCTCCTGCAGCGGGGAGGAAGGGGCATTGATTTAGGTCTTTACTGAACAGAAACAGAGGTGGTCGTAGGGTGAGCTGCATCCGAAAAGCCAACCCCAGAGTCCTCTTTTGAGAAGGAGCCCCAGGGAAAGATATAGCCTAATTTAAAGGGGTGGAAGTGCTCCCTCCTTTCAGATCGGAAGGGTCCCTCTGGGGTTTCTGCAGGGGGATGCATGTCCCCTGCCAGGGACGGCAGTCCCTGGGGGTTACCCTGGGCTGGCTCAGCGGGCGCCAGGCCAGGGACAGGCAAGTAGCAGGGACTGTGACATCCATGAAATGCTCTGTGAGCACCCTCCAGCCATGGTCTGGGGCGTTTGCTGAGGCTGGCAGGGACCAGTGCTGTCCCAAGAGCTGAAGGCACTGGTGGGACAGTAGTCAGTACTAGGGCTGCTTGCTGGTGCTCTGGGGCTGCCCCGGGTCCCTGAGCCTCTGACTGCCAACTGCTGTTCATCTCCTGCACTCAGGAGTGACTTGGGCCAGGAACACAGTACACAGAGGAGCAACCCACAGATTCTGCAAGAAGAGGGAGACTATCAGACTAACACCAAGACTGCATGTCTCATTGTCTACTAGGGAGATGATGTCTCTGACCAACACTCTACTATATTGCTGCTCATGCCAGGAGAGGAGACACCACAGTTTTCAATCAAAGTCAGCTCTTCCATACTTTGCAAGTGTGGGGCTTGCTGGAAGAGACCCAGGATGCTTCCCCGTGCTGCCACTGCCGTCGTCGGGGGGACCGGGGGGGGGGGGCGGGACCCCGCCTGCCTCTCCTGGTGGTGCCCGGCGTTGGTGGGCACCGCTGAGGAAGCCCTGTGGGTCCCTGTGCCAGCACATCCTAAATCTGCTGAGCTACAGCATCCCGAAGCCAGGCAGGCTTCTCATACGCTGAGCAGCCCATCAGCCAGGGTGGCAACGGAGCATAAACGGCTTTTACCCAAACCAGCTTGCTCCAGTGGGTGGGAAATCGGTCAAAAAGTTCTAGTCGGCTTGAAAAACCCCAAACCAGCTGCCTTCCACTGCTTCCTCGCTGTAGTTCGTGTAAATCAGATCATTTCTCTGATTTGGCTTCTCAGCCGGAGCCCTGAGTGAGGAAAGCCAGCAGCGGCATCGCTGGCGGCTCGCTGGCTGCTGGCCCCGATGCGGCCCCCCGGGGCGGCAGGGTGGGCAGGAGAGGGCAAGGCATTGCGCGCCTGGGATGGGGGACGAACCAGCCCGGCCGTGCCACCGAGCTGCAGGAAACCGGCACATCGCAGGGCTGCGGGAGAGAGATGCAGCCCCACTCCCGCAGCCGAAATGGCCCGGAGGGGACCCGGGGATGATCGTGCAGGGAGGGGATCCCCCCAGCACAGCGTTAGCGCAGGGTGCAGGACCATTGTATCATCTTCCCTGAAATGGGAAGTGAAAAAGTAGCAGTAAAAGGATGTTTAGCTTAACCCTGTCTGCTTTGGAGTATCCTGTGCTGAAATGTTGCTTTATAGCTTCGTCCAGAGCCCGCTCTGCTCTGGATGCCAGCGATGCACCTGGGACTTCCACAGAAACAAAGGAATCTGTTTTCTCTCCCTTTAGGAGTGGAAGAATTGCAATAATATTTTCAGTTGGAAAGACTGTTTTTTCCACCATGAAAAAAAGTGTTTCATTTTTGCTAATAGTACTTAGCATTTCTCAAGCCAAAACCAGCCCCAAAGCTGTTGGCTGGACCGAGCTGTGGCTTCTCCTGCTCTCCTGCTGCCGGTTTCACCGAGGTGTGATCTGCCTGGCCTGGTGTCGTGGGGCCCTCGGTGCCAGCGGTGGGACAGGAATGAGGATTTCTCCTGCCCATGTGCGCAGAGCCAGCGCACAAACCCCTGGTCCTGCTGTGGAGACCTCAAAGAAGGAGTTTATACAGTATAGCAAAACATGATGGGAATCGTGTTTATCACCAAGAGCGGGTTTTAACACTCGCCCAGGCTGTCCTGGTGTTTAAGGTGTATTTCAGTATCTTTCAAACATGTTTTTTTTTTTTTTCAGCCAGGTTCTTTGCCAGCGCTGCCCCAGCCTGGAGCTCTCGCACAGTCCCGGTGTGGTTTCAGCCCCGCTTTGATTACTTTTACAACCCCGTTTGGTCTTACTTGCTTTGCTGTTGCAAACAGCAGGTTTGACAAGACACCATTTGCAGCGGTTTCTCCAACACGTGGGGCTGAGAAGAAGCAGCGGCGATAGCCTCAGCCCTGCGAGAGCTGAGCCGCCAGCCCTGAGCGAAGGGGAAGGGCGGCAATTAAGAAGCCAGCGGGAAAGCGAGTGATTTCTGTCACTGCCGCTCTGTGTCTTGGCTCAGCGTGAAATTGCTGCGGCCACAGAGGTCGGGGAGCCCCGGGAAGCTGCGGCAGCGTGTCCCCAGGCTGGGGACGGCAGGGTGCACTGCACAGCGAGGATCTGCTCATCCTGGAGTGATTTTTAGGAGTCTCCATTTCTGGGGCAAGTTCAAGCAGGTGGGCTGTAGCCAGGCCCTGCTCTCAGGTGGTGAAAATACAATTGCTGGAGAATCTGGTTTCCTTTTCAGGCTTTTTAAAATTGTTTGAACACAGAGGTTTCCACCATGACTTATAGATTTGGAAACATGGGCGTTGTGTTTTCAGTGACATTATGGCCTTCAGAGGGTTGCCACGTTTCAGTTCCAAAGCGGAGACTGCGGTGCACAGAGCACCGCTAACCCCACCACATCCGGAGATGGGGTTCGGGCTCCTCCACCGCTCCCACGTCCCGGACAGGTCCCCCTTGCTGTGAGCTGGCCTCGGCTCCCTGGGATGGAAATGTCACAGCAACTGGCTGCAACCCTGCCACAGTCTCCAGGCTGAGAAATTCTACGCTAATAACAGATTTTTCTAGGGCCAAGTTCCTAAAGTCCCGCAAAAAACAGGGCTTTGTCATGGAAATGCTGAGACAACATTAATGGCAGTGTCCTGAACGCAACTCTAATTAAAGAGAGGAAGGAGAACTGAAGCAGGATGTCCTGTTTGGCTGCCCAGGATGGAAAGCTTGTCACAAATAAAGTGCATTCTCGTACTTTGTCTCCGTCCCTCTGCACAAGGCTTTCCCAGATTCTGCAAACATTCATTTTCTTATCTCTCCTGGATTCTTGTTTCTTTCCTTTTGAAATAGCTCCTCACAAGAATGTTTTTTTTCTCTGCTGTATTCCCCACCGAGCTCTCAAACGCACCAATCAAACAAATGTCATCTCCTCGAACACAAAGTGAATGTGCTTTTTATTCCTTGAACAAAATCACTTGGGCACAATAGCTGGTTGGCTCCGTGCAAAGAAACTTTCCTATTAATGTCTCAGAATAAGCTCTGGCGAGTGAGCAGGGACAGGCAAATCAAAGCTGGGAGCAAGATGGCAAATGTTTCCTTCTGAAAACAGGCTTTCCACTGAATTAGCCCAGGGTATGTCACAACCAATCTCCGAGCTGCTTCCTATGATAGCAGAAAAATAAACCAAAACAAAGAAAAAAAAAGAAAAAAGAAAAAAGAAAAAAGAAAAAAAAAAGGAATTTAGAAGTAACATAGAAGTAATTCAGCTCACTGTGTGCCACAGGAATACTGATCCAACCGATTTTTGTGCTCATCTAGAACCTACTGAGTGTTGGTGGCTTTGAACCCGGGACTAGTCGCAGTACCGCTCAGATTTAAAGCTGATACTTGAGCTCAAAGCACTGTGCCAGCAGCGCTCTCCTGCAAATCCGGGATGCAAAATCTGGTATGTTTATGGAAAATAAGATGCACGACCCAAACAGAAGTGTTCATTTGTGCAGCAGGAGGAACGGGGGCACGTGACGATGTCCTGCTCCAATGACTTGATTCCTCTGCTACCAACTGCCCGATCTAGATGTTATCGCTCCCGCTGTGACATTGGCCGCGGTGTCTTTGCTGACCTGCTCACGTGCTCGGAGCGCAGACCCTCTCTGGGTGGGAGCCAGGGAGGCAGCAGCTCCAGGGCTGGTGTGCAGGGTGGATTTCTATGACTAAAGCAGCTGAGGGCTCCCTGCAGTGTGCGGGGCTGGCACAGCCTCCAGCAGCCTCGCTGGAGTCCTCCAGGAGCAGAGGGAAAGTGCCCCGTCGCTTCTCAGTGAAAGTTAGGTCATTCCCAGCATTTCTGCTAGACAAGTTGTCTCCTCTCCGTTGGGGCACTGGGTGACACTCGTGTGCCCAGAGTGGCATAGAAATCCTGATGTCTGTGCGCAGCTCTGGCTGGGACTGACTTCTGCTGCCTTCTGATGGGAAAAGCAAGGAGTGGGGAGGGAATGAGCTTACTCCAACTCCACGGGGAACCTTGCAGCCCTGCGGGTGATGTGGAGCTCAGGGCTCCTCTCATTGCGCCTCCGGCTCTGCCACTATCTCTGACCTTGCACGAGCATTCACGACCCTGTCGCGCTCTGCCCTGCCTCGGTGTCCCCACAGGGTACAGCCTGCCTGGTCCCACCACAATAGCACTTGTCCTCCCAGTCTGGTTTGCAGTCCCAAACCCAGTGCTGCGACTTTGCTAAACCCATCCTTCCTGTGAGAGGAACAAAATACCTCCTGGTACCCAGCCTCACACACCCAACTCCACTGACACCAGCTCCCTGCCCTTCAAATAACCCGCTGCTGGCTCTTACACTGCAAACCAGTGGTACCTCTGGGTCATCAGCCTGAGCGTTACGCAGCACTTTCTCTTGGCCGATGGGGATTGCCCCACCAGGGAAAGCCAGAGGGTATGAGCCGGGTGAACTGGGATTTGTGTTCTCCTTTCCCTGACCGTGCTCCGGCGGTGCCCTCTGGGCTCTCCTGGACTTTGCGCCTTTGCCTTGCCTGTCCACAGCCCTCCCTCTCCCTGAGCCCCTGCTCGGAGGGTG